GATCCAGAGACAAGCACTATCTTTTCGCAGCCTCCGCTCATTTCATTCAAACGCGACAAAAACATAGGTAATTTTTTGGTCAGAAGCTCTTTTCAGACGAACGACCAACCAGGCACTTTTAAATGCACTCGTGCATGATGCAAAACGCGTCCTTTCATTCACAACACTGAGAAAATATCGGGACCCAAACAATCCATTAAGCTGACCGATCACTTCACGCGCACCTCCGCCAATGTAATTTATTGCATAACTTGCACTTATTGCAAAAAGATTTACATCGGCGAAACAGGCAGAAGACTAGGTGACCCATTCCAAGAACACCTTCACGACGTGGAGAGGAATGACAAGAAAACATCGAAACCAGTCGCTAGACATTTTAATTTACCTAATCATTCTTTGAAACATATGGTAATCTTCGGTTTTTCCTTACGCTTAGGTAGCACGGAAAGCCGTAAAACTCTTGAACAAAAGCTCATCTTTCAAATCGGCAGTCTAAATCCCGCAGGTATTAACGAGCGCTTTTCATTTCACTAATTTATTCGTGTTTTTCTCGTTGCCATGTTCCCACCAATAACGTTGCTCAATTTTCTTCCTTTAAAGCACACACAACCCACAATTCCTCCATTCGCTCCGACGAAGGGCTAACGCTCGAAACGTCAGCTTTTAAAATCGTAACGGTGGCCAATTTACTATTTCAACTTTGTTGATATATTCAAATTATTTTGTTACCCCCACCGACGCAGCCCTAAACAGTTTCTTTAGAAACTATCAGCCTTTATTAAAAGGTATGTTACTAATTAGTTAAAACAAAGTTGGGCAGAGCGGGGAAAGGCGAAAAAGGAGAACTACGAGGTATATAGTGAACGAAATACCTGTCGAAATCTCGGAGTGGTATTATCACATTAGAGCCTCTCACATGTTGGCTCAATTGGATTAGACAGGACCAGCGCTCGAGCTTTGTTATCAGATTACTGTTACTTTGAAAATTATACCTTCGCAACCCAATCCCTCTCCATGGTACCCAGCTTTACATGTACAGTTGTAGGATCTTTTGGTATCGTTACACACAGCACTTCCACTGCAGCTGCGTGATCCCTCAGTACACTCATCGATATCTAATAATAATTTTTCTTGTTTTATTTGTCAATAACATATGTGTTATTTTCTAACATCGTGATCGGGTAGGTTTATTAATTTTTTTTTTATTTTTTACTTTTTCATCAGCTCTTCCCATACCCAAGATTTACAAGTCCACTCTAAACTCGTTTACGGTGACCTCAAACTTCAGAGTTCCAAGTATTTTGTCAGGAACTGAGATGATCGCGCGTTCATGCTTGTTTGGCTCCGTTGTATCAGACAGGATCAGCGCGCGAGCCATGTCATCATATTACTTTTACTTTGAAAATTTTACCTTCGCAAGTCAATCCATTTTCCTGGTATCCAGGTTTACATGCGCATTTGTAAGATCCCTTGGTATTGTTACACACAGCGTCGGCACTGCAGCTGTGTAATTCCTCAGCACACTCATCAACATCTGAAAAGAATTTTAGTTATTTTATTTACGAATAACATGTGTAATAGTAAGTTTCCAAAGTCATGATCGTGTAAGTTGTTTTTGCAAAAGGGGGAGATGGAACCTCTTTGGTTGTCATTGTGTTTGGTAACTTTGTGGAAGGAGTCAAATATATTATTGTTTTGTCATTCTTGCACCTTGACTCCAACAAATCTATTGATAATACCTTATTACAAAGGTATTAAGCATATCGTTGAGGTATATTTGTAGAAATACGTACCATAATTTCATAAAGTTTATGCCTATAAAAGCTTATCAAAATCTGTGGCATATATATATCTAATTATATAAATAAAATATTTGGGCGAAACGAAGGAAGGCGGAGAAGGACAACTTCCTGGTATGCAGCGAACGAAAAAACACATAAAATTTCGGAGTGGTATTCTCACAGTACAACCATCGCTCTTGGTTGTAAAGACATTTGTGATGGATAACCTTCACGTTGGATCAATTGGATGAGCGCTCGAGCTATGTTATCATATAATTCATACTATGAAAATTTCACCTTCGCACGTCAATCCATCTCCATGGTATCCTGGTTTACATGTACATTTGTAAGAACCCTTGATAGTGTTACACACAGCATCAAAACTGCAGTTGTGTAAACCCTCAGCACACACATCAGAATCTGCAAATAATTGTCTTCTTTATATTCATCAATAGCATGTGTAATAGTTTTCTAAGTGGGGAGAGATGGAACCTCTTCAATTGTCGTTTTGTCTCATTGCTTTGGGGCAGGGGTCTACTTTATTATTGTTTCGCCATTATTTTACCTCGATTACAATAAATCTATAAATAATAGATTCAACCAATACAACGGCTCCAAACCTTAACTCTACGGTCGCTACATCGACGACTGTATCAGCGCCACCTCCTCTACCAGAGAGGACCTGTCTCAATTCATAACCGCAACCAGTTCTTTTCACCCGGCTCTGAAATATACCTGGGAAGTTTCTGAAAATTCTTTATCCTTTTAAGGCATCAAAGTTTCAATTGCAGGCAACGGTTTATGCACTAGTGTGTATTAAAAACCTACAGACTCGCTTAATTACTTGTTGCATTCGTCTTCGCATCCATCTCACGTTAAGAATTCCATTCCTTTTTCTCAGTTTCCAAGACTTCGTCGTTTATATAGTGATGACTCTGATTTCCATCACAAATCAGAGTCAATGTGCCAGTTTTTCGATAGAGGCTGATAGTTTCGAAAGAAACTGTTTGGGGCTGCGTCGGTGGGAGTAACGAAATAATTTGGATATATCAACAAAGTTGAAGTGGTAAATTGGCCACCGTAACGATTACAAAAGCTGACGTTTCGAGCGTTAGCCCTTCGTCGGAGCGAATAGAGGAATTGTGGGTTGTGTGTGCTTTTAAAGGCAGAGAATGGAGCTACGTTATTGGTGGGAACATGGCAACGAGAAAAACAAGAATAAATTAGTGGAATGAAAAGCGTTCGTTGATCCCTGTGGGATTTAGACTGCCGGTTTGAAAGATGAGCTTTTGTTCAAGATTTTTACGGCTTTCCGTGCTACCTAAGTGTAAGGAAAGACCGCAGATTGCCATATGTTGCTTAGAATGATTAGGTAAATTAAAATGTCTAGCGACTGGTTTCGATGTGTCCTTGTCATTCCTTTCCACGTCTCGAAGGTGTTCTCGGAATCGGTCACCTAGTCTTCTGCCTGTTTCGCCGATGTATATCTTTTTGCAATAAGTGCAAGTTATGCAATAGATTACATTGGCGGAGGTGCACGTGAAGTGATCGGTGATCTTAATGGATCGTTTAGGTCCCGATATTTTATNTGGCCCCAAAACAAGAAAAAACACGGGTCCGTACCCATCCCCCAAAACATGGTACGGATTGTTTACACGGGCAAAAATGTCAGGTCCGTACTCCTTTTTTGACAAGTCCGTACCCGATTTTTCTGCGGTGTAAACTGCCTTTGAACAAGGAACCATTAACAGCTCATATTTTAGAAGAACGTTACTAGACTGGCAGTCATCTTGTTCTACAGCTGACCAGACTACCACTCAAAGGCTACAGGTAAATCCATGTTTTATGTTCCGTTATATAGTCTTAGGCATTTCCAATCACTTTAGAATTTCAACCTATAAAGCATTTAAAACCTTTATTTGTTCGTTTCGCAGTTCCTGATCCGTAATGCCAACAGAGGGAGAATTTGATGACACATTCGCTGCTTTTTATTGAAAAACGTGCAACAGTATTCTTAACTATATTAAAAGGTATGTGTTATAACTAGTATTGATTTAAAATCTCGTCAAACTTAAGAAAGCTAGCAATGTCTTTCTAGTCAGCTGAAGAAATTTTTTCACCTGTTTACCGGCTGGAACTCAAACACAGTTCAGTGCATCTGTTGGATGTTTTTTTTCCTTGTTTCTATAAAAAATTCTTGGATTTGATATATTTGATATTGCAATAATTCATTTTAATATTCAGATCTCATCGTGTAAATTGCTTAGCGCTTGGAAGTTCATTCAGCACCGGTCGTAAAGCGATGTCAATGTCTACAGAAAATTTATCCATTTTGGCAGTCGTCAGAAGGATCAACTTTCTTTTGTTTCGATCTGGAAAATGTTGAGTGTGAAAACAAATTTAGTGAACTCACACCACAAAAATGGGAATTCACATGTAAAAAGACAGATTTCATTCGCATCCGGTTATGGACAATTTAATGGCTCATATCGAACACGCATTCGGAATGATTGTCAAAAAGACGAGAAAAAAAATGCAAACAAATGTTTAAGATTCTTTTCTCTTCAAAAGGTGAGAATCTCAATCAAGTCAGACCTGTTGTTTTTAAATGTTTGCTTTGAGGAATGATCCACATACCAACTCTCCTCTCCCCACAACAACTTATCGCGACAAAAATGGATATCTGTTGCTAGTGCCAGTCTCCATACGAGGAAACCATTGCGGATTTCAAAAATCCGTATCTCATCCGTGGTAGACCGTTATCGATTGTGTTAGCACAAGTTTTGGCATAATTTGGAAAAACGAGCATCATTTTTGCACTTTTTCTAAAAGTAGTATTGTTAGCATAATCGGCATATTTTTAGTTTTTTGAAGGAAACATTACCAGAGTCATGACTTTCTTGGTCTTTAAGATTGATCATTTTCGACTTCTGTCCATGGCTCAGTCTGTTTTTAT